TTTCTGAGTGGTAAAAGGATGTTTGCAGCATTGTTGCTAACATAGGCTTAACGTTCATTGCACTATTATACTTTAAGATGTATTTACATGTTAAACTATTAATAATAAAGCATATGATTTAAAGTATGAAGCATGAAAAAGATCATCTTTGAACAGGTGCACCTGTGGTCACTGCAGCTTCCTGTCCCCAGCAGAGAACGGTTGTTGTACACCAAAGGTAAAATTACATATCAGAGCAGTTCTCAAATCTTTTCAACAGGTAAGCACTTCATAAAATATTGACTCTCCATGCACAAACGACTGTGACTAAAGCAAAYCAATCAGAAGATTAAACCTGGTCTAAATGAATTTTAAACACAGTAAACTATTTTTTAAAAACAAGTCATAACCTTTAATTGCACTGTAAATGTCTCTGAAACCTAAAATTATCCTGTACAGATATTATTACCACAGTCTAAGCACACTTTTATACCAAATTTAAATAAAATTGTTCATCAAGTTGCAATCACATTTACAAACTATTTTTTGTCAGGTTAAACATGTTTCCTGTTTATTTGCTAAATTCGACTGTCCCGTTAGTACACTACTTTCTACCCCTCTGTATTGGACATTGTCATATTATATTTCCAAATCAGTGCCATCATAAACATCTTATCTTTGACAAAACACATGGCCTAAAGTCAGAATAAACATTTTCTTACCAACTTTCATTGTGTTAGAATGCTTAGAATTATAGTTTTTTTTACTTTCTCCAATCTCCATTTTTTTGGCAAACTAATACAACTAAATAAACGTTGTAATATATTAAAATAATCTAAATGAGATATACAATTTGTAATGAACTTTACATTAAAATGACAACTACTCCTTGTGTTATAGGTCATGCACAGATGTGAGCAGGTAGGTGTGGTCACCTGTATCACTGACCACCCAGGGTTTGAGCCTGTAGCACWTAAGGATTAAGTGCTACAGGCTGTTTACGGAACATACGTGCAGCTATATGGTGAGATGCATGAAACAATGAACAAGTTAGTTACCAAAGGAGCCATTAATATTTGTATAATATACTTTATCAAACAACACACCTATGCACTAACTCTATTTCAGCTGTTACCGACACCTTGCTTATTGCAACATCGTGAGGTTGTACTGGGGTTATCTGGACCAGCACGTACAGAGAAACTTATACCCTTAAACACAGAGACACTTGTACCCCCAAAAAACACACTTGAAAGTTTATTAGAAAGATTTAGACATTACAAGGGTGCAATGTTTATTAATTTAGCACACAACTTGTTTAAAAATGTGCAATGTAGAGTGATGCTGTGACACTAAGAGTAAATTAACTTTTACAGAAGTAAACCAATGTGACTTTCATTATATTTTTTCAGCCGTAGGTTACAATTTACAGACTGTGAAAATGAAATGACCAATGAGACAAAAGAACCTGGAAAAATTGTGCACAGCTTCAAACAAGGCATTCCTGTGCATAAGTAGCTGTATTGTTAGGTTTTTCCTGATTGAACAGTCATATGTGGCAAAGACTTGCTGTAAAATGGAGTGCAAAACACCTGAGGTTTTTCACGGTGACATATCAATTTACCCCTGTGAACAGAACAATAAAATATTTTGCTTTCATCGAGTAGGAGTGGATATTTCTTTTTCAGTATTGCAGCATGAAGAATAAACAATCCTTCAAATGCAGAGGACGAAAGCAAACCAGAGGGGTGAGTCTCCGGCCTTTGTCTCCCACTCATCCCCTCATTTCTTGGCTTGTTTAGTGACCATGTTGCGAGGAGGGGTCACAGGACGGCTGCCGTTGGGCTTCTTTTTCTCAGCTGGCTTTAAAATCTGCAAATATATTACAAGAAGTTAAAATGTCTCGTAGCATAACTGCTACATCTGAGGTACAAATATTATTAGTATTCAATTTGAATTTTTACATCTTCTAGCCCGTAATCTTAAAGCTTGTCTCATTTGTCTCCGTGTCCCTGTGATGGACCTGAGACCTGTCCAGGGTGTCCCCCACCTCTCTCACAGTAATTGTTTCCCCCAAAGTGTGTGAACTAACAGTTAAATGCTACAAACACAAAAAGAAACTATTTAAATTAGGGCTAAAAGCAGAAATATGATTGCCTATTTAAGACAAAGTTATTTTTAGGAACATCAGAACCATGTGGGTCAATCAGAAATAGCACTTGACAAAACTGAAAACTGTACGATTCACCTAAAATTGTAATAATGTATTTCCAACTAAATGTTTTATATTTCTCAAAACATTAGATATTTTCCACATCATGTCCCAAAAACATCTTTAAATGAGTAAAAATACTAAAAACTATCTGTTGCTGTTCAGCTTAAAGGGGACCTATTAGGCAAAAYTCACTTTTTAAAGATTTTTTTTACTCAACTTTGGGTATGTACTTCTTAAAAAAAGTCCTAGGACCAAAAAAATGCACCAAGGGGCATATTTACTGTAAGTAAATGTATTTTTAATGTGTATTAATGACAAGTTTTATACTTCCGTTATTTTGTGATGTCACAAGCCGTACGACAACCAATCAGAACCTGCGTTCAGCCCCTTACCTAGCAACCCCCAGGTGAAGCGCCACCTCCTCAGTATAAAAAGCGTCACGGTTGTTGTGTAATGTGTAGATCATTTCACAACAAGCCTCCAGTAGGGCAATGGGTAGAGTGTTKGACCAGAGAGCTGGAGACCAGGGTTTGAGACCAGTATGGACACAATTTAATTATTTATTTATTTTTGTTCGTTATGAACACGTTTTCTCATGTACCTCTATTGTTTAGCTTATTAAAGCYTTGTTAAARCCTRTTTGTTTGAGTTTCTSAGGTATTTTCACTGCTGCTGCTCCCTGCTCTGGTAACAGCATGCAGAGTGAGCRCAGAGCAGAGGAGGGAGAGGGAAAAAAAAGAAACTGGGAMMGACTCTGCCTCTGGGTCTCATATGGTTGTACAAMGGAGCTTCTRCTATTATTAGCCATGCTAAGGTAAACGCTGGCTTTGGAGGGCGGAGTTAATGTCAACAGATTTTTGGAGGGCGTTACCAACAGAGCTCATTAACATAAACARCTCTTCTGAACGGAAGTCAGAGCAGGCAGAACTAGAAAATGGGAAATTTTATTATCTGAGAATTATTTTGTGCATTAAATTGAATGAACATGGTCTGGATAGCCCACAGACATACCATAAAACATTTCTAGGACCCATAATTGGTCTCCTTTAAGACTCATTTTGCCTCTGATAGTTTAATGCWGGTTACCTGAAATGAGCACATAAGAGTCTCATCAACACTCATCATGGCACCAGCGTTGTCGAACTCCCCACAATAGTTGGGCGCTGAGAACAAAGTGACGAGCTGTCTCTTTGCAAAAAACTCGTAGCCATCCTCAACAACCTGCAAAGAAAAGAGAGGAAAACAAAGAGAAAAGATGAGTTTAAGGTGCCTGTGAAATCCAAATTATTTTAATAATACAAACGTRTTTTTGGAAAGATAACACTGAGAACATATTACAAAATAATCTTCATGCTGCTGAGATAGATGAACAGTTGTTGAGGTATTTGCATGTGAAGTAACAGGAAGTGATGTCAAAGGGGAATGTCTGCATGAAAACAGAGCTTAGCTAAAATGCTCAACAGCCCAGACTGTGGAGAGGAATCTGATGTTTWAGATCATTCTGAGTCACTATCAGACAGAAACTAAAAAAGAGTCAGAGTTCAAATCATAATGTTTCAATAAACAAAGACCAGTGARTTATTTTTCTTAAAGGAGTTCCCCTTTGATGTCACTTCCTGTTTCCCTTTTGCCAAGTCAAGTTCAAAAGAAAATAGGTCAGTTATGTGTCCAAATGTGTAAAATAATGTGTGGTGTGCCAAGTTTCTTAAATAGAACCGTTTTATTTGACTTTTTGTATCTGAAGGATAAGCAAGTCACAGGCACTTTAAGGGTTTATTGTTGAATTAATTGATATGATCCAGTGGATAATAACATGATGGGTGGGGCGAATGATAAACAGATTAAAATAAAAGTTTCTTGGTTGTCCATCACATGACCACATAGAGACAAAACAACCATTCACACGCTCACACACACACCTAGGGACATTTTAGAGCTGCCAGTGAACCTAAGATGTAGGATTTGGTCTGTGGGAGTAAACCAGAGTACCCAGAAAAAAATCCATGCAAACTCCTGCAACCTCCATGCTGTGAGGCACCAGCTCTAATCACTCCCCTGCCATCATTTTTCATTTTTTTAAAATGAAATCTTATGTTTGATTGTCTTAAATTAAGAAAAGACAGTTGATGATGAAACCCAGTTCAGTGCATGCAGTAGGTCTGCTGGGTCCTTGAACTGGAGCGCTCACATAATCAGGTTTCTGTTTGGAGACATGAGCTCTCACCTGATGGGCGCGGCAGATCAGGTCCAGGTCATGCTTGTGTAGGAACTTGGCGACYACCTCTGAGCCGAAGGTAAACGAGACCCCCCTGTCATTCTCCCCCCAGCCCAGAACGTCTTTGTCTGGGTCGGACCACAGCAAGTCGCACAGCAGGCCCTGGTCGGGCACGTCGGTGGGGCGCATGATGCGTCTGATCTGCTCCATGGACTGAAGGTCAGGTGACAGTCCTGAAAGTGACAGCAAGTAACGGTACAAATAAACAAACTGATACTGGGCCAGTCCAAACATCAGCCGACAAACTGCACAAGCAGCATTTCRCAATGACAAATAAGTACAGCTGACGTCAAAGCTGCAGTACTTTCACATGCTGCATTCAAGTAAACCAAAGTACAGGTCATGAAGACATAGGAAAATATTTTTCAAAGTAATAAATAAAACATTATAAAACACTGAAAACAAGAACTCACCTCCATGGCAGCAAAAGATCTTCTCATCAACAATCGCAGCRATAGGGAGGCAGTTAAAACAATCTGTGAAGGTCTTCCAGAGTTTGATGTTGTACCTTCGTTTACCTAACACAATTCAACAATAATATATTTTACAGTGTGTCATTACGTAACAACAGGAACTCATTTTTAATACCACATGCAAGTCTGGATTCCAGTAACATCATAACTTCAAAAAGAAACTGTGGAAAACAAAACAACTTGTTGCCAAATGCACTTTGCACACAACAGAGCAAAGTGTAATTAAAATAAACCCCGCATGACTCACACTCGTCATAAAAGCCATATATTCTGTTGATTGAAGCACACTCATGGTTTCCCCTCAGCAGGAAGAAGTTCTCTGGGTATTTGATTTTGTAGGCCAGCAGGAGACAGATGGTTTCAAGAGACTGCTTTCCTCGGTCAACATAATCACCCAGAAACAGGTAGTTGCTCTCTGGAGGGAAGCCCCCGTACTCAAACAGCCTCAGCAGGTCATAGTACTGTCCATGGATGTCACCTGCAAAACATGGAACAATTACTGCAACCACAAATAACAAATAATGCTTTTTTTTATTATTCCTGTGATGTGAAAACAGGCAGAATCTAACAACAAAAGCCATTTTTTACAGTAAAATGCAAAGTTTTTTTTTTTTTTTTCAATCAAAGTGTTTTTCACACTTTCAAATGAAGGAAGCAGTGTTCTGGATGCTGCAGCCTCCTGTGTCTAAGGAAGAGGTGAGTGGAGAGAAGTGTTACACCAGAGGATAACAGTCCTCTGCAGCCTGTGGGAACATCACTGACTGGGACCACACGTACGCACGCACACACACAAAATAAAAAACAAGACGACCCAACAGTCAAAGAGCGATATCAAAACAAACTTAAGCTAGCTAACGTTAGCCATCGCTTCAGCTAGCTCTCTGATATGAAAACACTTCATCAGAAGAAAAATGAGTGATTTTGCAGTTTTATGGGCAGAAAATTGACTAAAAGTAATCTAGACGTAACATCTCGTCCTTTTCTTTCATTAAAAATTGATGTCATGAGATCGCATTTTATGATTGGTGCTATGTTGTGAAGATACACAACAGCTTATTACTAAACTTCAAGTGAACAAATAAAGATGGTCTTCAATGAAGCTTCTGGCAAAAAAACTAATTGTTTTGTGTTAATGTGTGTTTGTGGTGGTGGAGGTAATTTAACTGTGTAAAAGGTCCAGGAAACATGATTAATTTAATGTTTAGGTGCTGAGCCTGTCAGAGAAAACAGTGTGTGAGGAGGTAGTTTTTAGCTCTAAATTAATTTTATTTTTGTCTTCCCCACACTGGGAAGTTCTGCAGCTCACCAGAGGAATGTGTAAATACCATAAAGACTGGACCAAAGAGTATAGGGCGTTTTTTTTTTTTTTTTTTTGTGCCATAAGATTTTTCAGGCTAGTTTATTGTTTTACAAAATCATAATGTTCAGTGTTTAACACAAACAATATAAAACTAGAACAAATTTCAGGCAGGGCCTATGATCCACATCAACAACTGTTCTACCGGTCAAATATAACCATTTAATGTTTTTATTAATCCTAGAGAAATGAACTTCAAATGGCATGAAAATACATAGTTTGAGTAGATTTATTTCTAAATTTTCTGGGGGGTATGTATCTGACCCGGTTAGGATCAACTCACTCTGGTGGCATGTGCTAATTCATTTTGGTGTCCCTCACTGCCACCTGCAAATGTTGGCAGGTGTGTCTGTCATAACAATGTCTTATGATTTATTTAATAAGATTTTAGCTTGTTAAACTGTAAGTGTTTTTCATTTAGTTATAACCCAAATACAAAACAAATTAAACCAAGTTTTAGATTAATAATCAGTACAATCAGTGTGTTAATGTCTGAATGAGCCTCGTGCCACTTTAGAATCAAGAAGTTGGGCACCAAGGTTGAAAAGGTTAAGAAGACCTGGATTAAAGAATCTGAGAGAGCCAAATAAAATACACTGATATTTCATATAATAGCTACAAAACTTACTAAAGGATAAACTATTTTACTTTAATAGATCATTGAATGTTCACCTTTTGTTGTATTTTTGTTAAAAAATTGTAAATTGTATTAAAATTCTTTAATATTCTTTGACTGATTTATAATAATTCTATTAATACACAGTATAATGATGTGAAAATCTGTAATTACACAATAAAACACCTAATTTAAATAACTAAAAACAACTAAACTAACTTGGGGAAAAATTAAATTTGCTTTTGCAGGAACAAACATGTAAAACAGTGCACTGTACATTTGTGGTACACAGAACTCTCACTAACCACAAATCTTAAGAGGAGCCTCGAGCTCCAGAAGAATGGGTTGACTGAGGAAGATCTCCCTGGACTTGAGGCATAATCCTCGAATCTCATTCTCCTGCAGCTGCACATTTTTGCCAGGTTTTGCTCCTCGGACTGCAACGAAAAACACAAACAATGCTCAGCAAACAAATTATAGCACTGTTTCAGCTAGGTCAGCAATATATACAGCAGTATCTGAGCAGTTTGTGTTGGACAAGTTCTCCTGGGATAATCTATGTAACTCAGTTTCAGTAAAAAGCTTGGTGCCTGGATGTTTGCAGTAATGCCTGATGATTATAATGAGTATTACTAAATTTTAACAAAAGGGTATTTTCTGCAGTAATAATAATAGACCTAAAACACTGATGCACAAACACCAGATAGTTCTCTCTTTATAGCATTAACTCAGACACATTGTTTGGCAGTTTCTTCATCTTTTGTCTACAGGGAAAAATAAACGAATAACTTTTATAGTCACTGAAAGTCCACAAAACAAAACTGAAGTTGATTTCTGATTGTAGCTTCCAATGAGGGAAAAGGCGATTAAACCTAATTTTTAACAACCTTGAGCATCTTTAATCTGCTCTACTTTATATATATATA